AAACACATTTTATATCAGAAAACACAGCACAAGCTTGCCTGTGTACCAGATTTATATATTCCATTCACCAGTATTAGATGCTTTATGTTTTCAGTGGTAAGAAGTATCTCAGATTTGACAAAGTTCCCGCAGAATTTAGGAAATTCTGTAACGAACGTATTCATACCTTGTCCTTTGATCAAAACATGACCACTCGGACTAGCATGGCATCAAAGTAGAGAAAGTTTCACATGAATATTAGATAAAGCTTATATTAAAAAGATAGGTGAGCTAGCGCTGTAGCCATTATAAAACACAGAAGTAGATATCTGAACCATTGGTTTACTTTGCTGAATCGATTAATTATTAATAGGAAGGTAGTGCTGCACTGCGGGTGGAGGGGGAACTCAATTAGAATGGTAGAACTCGAGTGGGCTTCACATCGGCAATGATATCACTGTGTATTAAGCAATCTGCCGTTCATTAATTTCAAATTCAATAAATTTTTAGAGATTGGTAGAACCAATGAGCACTTAGTTTAAAATATTCTAGTGTGGTAATCTTCTGTAGAAATCGCATCTTCTCTGACCTTTCCCGCAAGGTCGGATAAATTTATTTACATCACGGGTTGTTTAAATTTTTTGCAAAATGTCAACGTATTGGGTAGACAGACTCTCTTATTATCAATTTTAAAAATGGCTGATTTCTGCAGTCTGCATAATAGGACATAAGTTACTGCTACTTTTTAGCTCACCTCAACAAAGTTTTACCCTCGGTGTCTTCCCAGGTTAAAGTTTTTGAAGCAGATTTCTTTTCAAGTACTTCTATGCCCTATATTAATCAGAGATGCATGGACGATGCTAACTTATGTTTCATTGTACCAGTCAAGGTTTCAAGTGCTGCAATTTCAGCTAAAGAATGAGCAGGTCAATGTTTTTGGAGCAGGTTAAAGTTTTTAATGCAGGTGTCATTTCCAAGTAACTATAAGCCCTATATTGACCAAAGTTGCTTGGATGATATATCTAAGGAAAAGCTTGCACTTTACCAAGCTTGCTTCGGATGCTGAATCTATAGGGAATATAATCTAGTATTTTAAAGATCTGCTGAAGAACAGCAGTGTTGCAATCTGTCAAATTAAAATTCAACCATTCGTAATTTAAATGTTGATTCAAGGTTGACAAATTATGTGCCCGGTTATAATAGGGTCACTATATGAATATAGAAAAAAAACTTTGAAAAATACACATGTATTCTCAGGAACATCCTATCCCTGAGGACCATGATTTGAACAATTCAGAATTTACATTATAGTAGGAAGCTTTTATATAAGTTTGATCGCTTCTGGTTCTGTTGTTTTTGAGATTTTTAAAAGATGCTCCCAAATTTTCACTATTTTTTAATTATTCCCCCTTAATTGTATGAGGACGTGGTCCTTATTTTCCAGAACTAATTCAGAATTCTTTTACCCAGGAATGCTTTGTGGCAAGCTTGGTTAAAATTGACGCAATGATTCTGGAGAAGAGGTTAAATTTTTTTTTAAAGTTTAAGACGGATGGACAGACGCTGGACAACGGATGATCCCTTAAACTGTTAAAGTTAAGTTTAATTAAAAATGATTATTCTTTGTACAAGATGTTTGTTCACATGTTTTTCCTGGCATTTTTGTTTTTAAAAATATGTTTTTCCTTGTAGGTACTAGTTTTTTTTTCCCATATGTTTCATCATTATATTCTACGTACATTTATATTTATCTGGATAACAAGATAAGAGGAAGTGAGGGATATTTATTGAGTTCGATCTCTGTGACAAAGGCCTTGTTTATCAGAACCGTGTTCTGTGATCAGAGACCACCAAATAAAGACTTTCATCCAACATTTAAAGAACAATAATCTATTTTAAAAAAATATCTATACGTACATTTAATAGTAAATAATATAAAATGAATATTAATGAGTGTTATCCCAATTTTAAACCTGGCCATCACTTGGGTCATAAATTGGATTTTTTGGGGGAGGGGTCCATGTTTAGTCAAAAATTCCAACTCAAAATTTTCTGATAGAGGCAACATATACCCAAATTCTAAAAAGTGTATTCCATGTTGGTGGGGTCGGGGAGGGGGAACAGGCTTCTGGGGATTTACCATGGACTTGATTTTTGGACAAACATAAAGGCCAGCCAACCATGGCCAACTAGGAAGATAAATAACTATACATAGAGCATAAAAGTGTGGGGTTTTTTTTTTTTATACTTTTGAAACTTTACCGCATGTCTCTGTTGACTTGCTTTGTTCTGGGAGATTTAAATAAAAAAACTCTTGAGAATACCCTCGTACGATGGATTTGGAGGTGCAGTTCAACCACATTTACGTGTCTGTCGTGTTGATCTAGGAAAGTGCAACATGTAAAATTCTGAAGTACAATTCAATATTTACTTCCTGCATGACCCTGACAAAAACGTGCAGGCAGATTTTATCGCTTTTTTATTTAAATCTGGTTTAACCTCAATGCATTTGGATGACACAAACAAGTAAGTTTATAAATGTAAATAGAATAAATCTTTTCTAACCTTTAAAATTAATGATATCTTCTAAAATTTGAAAGATCATAGTCTAAATCTACATACAGTTAGACCGCAGTGTAACCTGATTTATTACAACAAATGTTATCCAAATACAATAGCGAAGAGGACATTCTGAACGGTGCGCAGTAAATCATGTCATCTTGACGAGAATGTTAACGATATAGACCTCCTTAAAATTTCAATGTCCTCGCTTACTGAGAGGAAGGCGTTAAATTGGAAAAGTAGAAAACTTCAAAACTTTCTCAGATCGAGTCAATCCCAAACCGAAAGACTCAAAAAACCAGAATAGGGCTGGAGCAATAGATTAATATGGACTTACCTAGATCATTAATGACAGTTTCGAGTCGAAACTGTGAGCAACCTAGTACAGCATGTGTTAATTTTATGAGAAAGAAATTGAATTGAAATTGAAAGCAGAAAACATTTCCTGCTTCATTATAAACTAAAGGAAACAATGATAATAGACTCCTTCCGTAAAATATGATTTCATAACATTATAGCTTTTTTTCATTCGCATTTTTCTCATCTTTTATGTAAATTTTCAACAAATCAGCCCCTTCTATATTTAATGCCTTTAAAACCCATCAGAACTTTACAATAAGGAAATTTTATATACGATATTAACTGTCAATATATTAACTGTAACTTATAGGTCCTTCCGGGCCGAGGCTGAGAAAAATGAAGCTTATCGCTGTAAAACTTACTGTATTCATGTCACTATAATAAATAATTTACTTACAACAACAGATTCAATCATTATACTTTCTTGCCAGTTATCCACTGTACTAGTATAACATGAATATTTATGCACCTAAATACAAACAGCTTTGCGAATAGGAAGTACTTAAAAAGAGATTTGAAAGTAGGGGGACTGTTATGAAAGTAGGGTTGGGCCCAAAGGCTTTACCATTAAATCTAGTATATGATTGGAAAATCCAAGAAGGATGTAAAAATCCCCCCCCCCAAAAAAAAAAATCAGGCGGATTCAGAAACATTAAGTTAATTAAACAATAATTGTGCCTTTAAATAGCCTCTTTATACAAAAGGCCAAGGTACACATATACATATACAATGAACTGAATGGAATACAGATTGAAATACGGTTAAAGAAACACACACACACACAGAGAGAGAGAGAGAGAGAGAGAGAGAGAGAGAGAGATATGAACATGAAGTTTAACTGTAATTTTTAAGTATAAATGGAACGCTCAAAAAGAAATAACTATCACAACTGTTACATGTTATTAAAACGTTTAGTTGATCGATCTGATATATTCTTGTATACAGTGTGTGATGCTGTAAATCACGTGATACGAAAACTCCGACCCCCACATAATAGAATCCCTAGCTCCAGATTTTTGGAATTTTCCTAACGAGCAAAGTTTTGACGCTGTTTTCGGAGATAAAAAAAATAAAATAATACAGGCATATGCCAAATACGTGTATGGTTTTGTAGATAAATTATCGTAGAAGAGAAGGGTAATAAACAGTGTACCAGTGCCTTTTCTCTGAAAGCGTAAATAACTGCGATTCTGGGGAGGGGGTACTCCATGTAATTTGGAGTTAGATACCTTGAGATATTATTTAACTACTGTAACAAGATACAGTTCTACAATAATGGTAGGGGAAATTAATTCCCTCTGATTTAACAACATTAATTGACAATAAAATAAATTGTAAAAAAAAAAAAAATGTTTGTTTCTTATTATTCTTAAGTTTTATTTAAAAGATTATACATGATTTTTTTTAATCATACAAACGATTTTATTCATTTTTTTAATTGCTTGGTTAAACTGGAACAAATACTGTGTCGTAATATGAAGCATTCGTGTCTCCTTTAAATCATGCTAGGATATCAAATTAGAATTCCGCATTTAATCAGGCGTGAAGAGTGAAACACGACACAAAGGTCAACGGCATGTAAAAAATATGATCATCAAAGAAAAGAAATTTTTCAATCAATTAAAAGTAAATTTCCCAATTTCTCGGCATTAGATGATGAACAAAAACTTTTTTGGTTACTCAATACTGAAGACAAAGAAACTCTTAATTCTGTGGGCAAATTCATAAATGATAACATGTTGTAGTAGTCATACAGTTTTATATATAGTATTCCCTTTAACTGAAATAGTACAATATTATTGTTGAAATGAGTAATGTCATTTACAAGTTGTTATACTATCCATTGGCATATCTTTTCTTTATTATTGTAATAATTTCATACTTGTCTGTTATGGGCTCTAAATTAGAAAATAAATGTTCTGTTCTGTTCTGTTCTATGGTCTAATTTTTGAATGTCTGTAGAGCATATGATTAAAAGTTTGAATCGATCCCCGAAAAGTTACCTATAACTCGAGAAGGACCATTTACATCACGATTTAACGTGAAAAAACTTAAGAAAACGGGTTGAAACGGTCATGTGGATATATGTAAGAACAGCCTTAACAAATGGTGTAATATGATCTCTAAGAAACTGCTGAAAAAATATTTGTATGGAGTTGTTTAAACCTAGGGCGTCGTAGGGCAGGGACAAGTAACTTTTGTGAGAAGTTGGTATGTAAAATTATGTTTTGAATACCGAGAAATAAGAGAGTGTAAAAGAATACTGGTTTTTAAATGTAAGGATTACTAATGGATTAATTTTTAAATATATATTTTGAAAAAGTGGTATTCTTAAATCTTTAAATGTTGATACAGTTTGATAGAATGGTGTCCATAAACAAGACAGAGTATAGTTCTGTACAGGAGTATGACAATTTCATTATCTTCCGGCAGTACAACTGTACTTTGAAACATGGCAGCAGAGCTCTGCAGATCGCAAAGTGAAAGTAAAGATAGTGTGCTCAGGCATTTCGATTTAAGTCAAAGCAAGTCATTGATAAAAGCAAATTCTAGCCTGCAATATTATGCAGGCTAGAAGCGGAGGGTATGCGCAAGAGTTGTTTCCCTTGTAGAAGTACCAGCGTCTGGTAGCTGTGGTTATATGTATGGATATTTTTGCAAAGGAATTTTCTTTTACTTATAAAATATATTAGGTTCTTACTCTATTAAGATAATAACTCTAAACTGAACTAGTGATATAATACTGACACCATCTTGTAAAGCTAAGACTTCTTAGATCCGCGCCTTATACACTCTACTCTTACGTGTGCATACTGTGCTGATCTAAGAAGTCTGAGATTGGATAACCTATTATTGAGACAAGTTAAAACATGGTAAAGGTCACACAGATTTTGATATTGAGATTGGATAACCCTATTATTGAGACAAGTTAAAGCATGGTAAAGGTCACACAGATTTTGATATTGAGATTGGATAACCCTATTATTGAGACAAGTTAAAACATGGTAAAGGTCACACAGATTTTGATATTGAGATTGGATAACCTATTATTGAGACAAGTTAAAACATGGTAAAGGTCACACAGATTTTGATATTGAGATTGGATAACCCTATTATTGAGACAAGTGAAAACATGGTAAAGGTCACACAGATTTTGATATTGAGATTGGATAACCTATTATTGAGACAAGTGAAAACATGGTAAAGGTCACACAGATTTTGATATTGAGATTGGATAACCTATTATTGAGACAAGTTAAAACATGGTAAAGGTCACACAGATTTTGATATTGAGATTGGATAACCTATTATTGAGACAAGTTAAAACATGGTAAAGGTCACACAGATTTTGATATTGAGATTGGATAACCTATTATTGAGACAAGTTAAAACATGGTAAAGGTCACACAGATTTTGATATTGAGATTGGATAACCTATTATTGAGACAAGTTAAAACATGGTAAAGGTCACACAGATTTTGATATTGAGATTGGATAACCTATTATTGAGACAAGTTAAAACATGGTAAAGGTCACACAGATTTTGATATTGAGATTGGATAACCTATTATTGAGACAAGTTAAAACATGGTAAAGGTCACACAGATTTTGATATTGAGATTGGATAACCTATTATTGAGACAAGTTAAAACATGGTAAAGGTCACACAGATTTTGATATTGAGATTGGATAACCCTATTATTGAGACAAGTTAAAACATGGTAAAGGTCACACAGATTTTGATATTGAGATTGGATAACCCTATTATTGAGACAAGTTAAAACATGGTAAAGGCCACACAGATTTTGATATTGAGATTGGATAACCCTATTATTGAGACAAGTTAAAACATGGTAAAGGTCACACAGATTTTGATATTGAGATTGGATAACCCTATTATTGAGACAAGCTAAAACATGGTAAAGGTCACACAGATTTTGATATTGAGATTGGATTACCTATTATTGAGACAAGTTAAAACATGGTAAAGGCCACACAGATTTTGATATTGAGATTGGATAACCCTATTATTGAGACAAGTTAAAACATGGTAAAGGCCACACAGATTTTGATATTGAGATTGGATAACCCTATTATTGAGACAAGTTAAAACATGGTAAAGGTCACACAGATTTTGATATTGAGATTGGATAACCCTATTATTGAGACAAGCTAAAACATGGTAAAGGCCACACAGATTTTGATATTGAGATTGGATAACCCTATTATTGAGACAAGCTAAAACATGGTAAAGGTCACACAGATTTTGATATTTGACTCTCCAAAAAGTACTTATAATTTTGTATTTTTTAGAGGCAGAACATTAACACTTTTATTATTCCGGGTGAATCATGTTTAAAATAATCATTCCTTTTAGTTTCGATTTAAAGAAAACAATTACATGTAATAATAACATTAATCAGCAAAACGAATTATAAATATTTGAAAATTGTCAATTTTTTAGAGTCCTTTATTAAAAGAATGAAAGGGATTACGTCTACTCCAGTATATGAGGGTTTGTCTATTCAGGCCCTATACATGAAGAATACGATACAAATTACATCAAATTGTTTGCGAAAGATGACAATGGTTTAAAAACAAATAGAAATCCGAAATCCCTCACTATTTTCACAAGACCAGTCTTGAAGAACACCAGGGGGTATGCTAATCAGCTGATAATTGAAAAATCTTTGTTAGATATTATGTAATATCGATGTTGTGTGTTATTATACAATGAGAGAATTCAACCATAAGCAATTTTGTTGTTGTTAAGTTTTTGCCTTTTGATTAGTTAACAAAAAATACATTGGAAGATGCAGGTGGGTAATAATTTAATGCACCCTGATATTTAAATCCGACAGTACGCAGCTGCTATATTTCAAAAACGATAATAACGCGCATGAATCTGCTACGTCATTGCTCCTCTCTGAAGGAATATTATTTTTCACGGCTAGTTCAGATATCATCATTTATAAATGATTTAATTTTTGAGTAAGATTAATTTTTTGAATTCAAAAAGTTTATTTCTACGAAACACTTGAAATTAAACCGAAATCTCTGGGCAAAGTAGGTAAACGATCACGAATTATAGCCCTAGTAACCAGTGATCATGGCTCAACGTATTCAGGAAACCGAAAAAAAATGTTAAGGAGTCTAAAGTCAGGAAAAATCATGTGATTTCCTGGTTTCAGTGGTCGGCGCTTTAATTTGGCATAAACTTTATTACTATGCTTAAGGATATCCGATCCTCAGCCAGGAAGGATAACTCTTAAATTTATTATTTTATTTCAAAAGTCTCAAAATGAAGCTTGAAATTGAGATCTTTTCTTGCAACAATTTTTATTTTATGCATCTTAATATGGTTCAAGGTTCTTTGAAGTCTTAGAAACGGTCTTGTAAAAAGTTGACATTTGTACCCCATAAAAGAAAAAAAATGAATTCATTTTTAGACAAATAGAATTTCCTTTAGTCTAGCATTAGATACCACTGCTTATTAGCATGATATGAAATTAGATGTGATATGTGATGTCCAGCAATGATAGCACAAGCTTTTTACACTATGTATTATATGGCAATTGAAGAAAAAAGAGGAACTTAAATACTGTTTAAGCATAAAAAAGATGCCATTCTCTCCAAATGCCTGGATACCTATATTTTTCTATCCTAAATTATATCTGTTGATCAATTTTCAATTAGAAAATGCATAGCTGGTGTTTTTATTCTCACTTCCTGAAAATATATCTAAGATTTGATCATTTTCCCTATATAATATGATTAACTATAATGATGAACTTTGAAGAAATTCCATGGGTAAGTTCACTTTAGTACTATGTGAAATCAGAGACATTTTTGTGAGCATTTTCAATTACTTAAAAGCTGATTATCAACGACTTTTGGAGTTTCAACGACTTTAAAAAAAAAAAAAAAACTTTAACCCTGGTTATGAGATGCCATAGCGGTTATCAGTGTTTCACAAACACATCTTGTTTTACTGCTGTTTATTTTTGTGAAAATCAAATGGAATATTTAATTTTCTTAGGACATACAATATCATGGATTGTCTGTAAGATTTAGATTGTGGACGGATGAATGCAGTACTCATATAAGAGGCTTTTATTATTTGTAACTTTGTTTTAATTCTATCTACTGACTTATTTGTGCAATTATATCATTTCAGATTGATTCCATGGTGCAGGCGATGAAAAGCTTCCTTTTCAGAGTGTTTCTGACGTGTGTCTTTTTAACGTGTACGAGTATAATTCTAGTCACAAATACAGTCAAAACCAACCAGGAAGGACCTCGCTACGATCTGAAAGAACCTTCTGCAGTCTATGGCATCACTAAAAAAGATCTGCCTCCAACAAACGGTTCTAGCATTCTAAATGTGTCCAAGACTACAGCGACGCCATTTTATGCACATATTACCTATATAACAAATCCTTCTACAATCTGTGATTCTTTCAAAACTTATAATGGAACCAAAATATTAATGCTCGTGAAGTCTTCTCCAGAAAACTTTCATTTACGAAAATGGATACGTTTTAAAAGTCAGACCTATAAAGACTACAAAGATTCTGTAAAGACCTTGTTTCTGTTAGGCCAGTCTGCCACTAGAGACAAGGATCTCCTCAAAGAAAGTAAAGTATTCGGGGACATTATCCAGGGGAGCTTCATTGACGCTTATAGAAACCTGACTTATAAGACTGTGATGGGATACAGATGGATGAGTGAGTACTGTGTACACTCGGAGTTTGTTGTTTACAGAGATGATGACTTTAAGATAAATATTGTTAATCTGATGAAGCAGATTAAGGCTCACAAAGCACCACAGACCATGTTTATGGGACTCCTAGTCAAAAAAGGTCACATGATATATCGTAATCCAAAGCATAAATGGTATCTTTCCAAAGAAGATTATCCTCAAAAAGTTCTTCCGCCTTATTTTCCAGGAGGCGCTTATTTAGTAAGCACAACCATTGCCAAAAAATTAGTTTCCAATTTTCACTTAGTGAAATGGCTACCAATTGATGATGTTTATATCGGACTTGTGGCACAAAAATCAAATATTTCGTTAACACATTCCAAACTATTTGAATTCAAAAACTGTGACAAGTTCCATACAAGTTTGGCGTGCCGAGAGTTCACAAGACCCCAAGAGGTGTTAGATGCCTGGAGAGCCGTGACTGTTGATGACCTTGAAAAAACAAAAACAAGCTAGTGTAAATGGCATCTAGTACCTTAACAAATACCTCATATCTTGTGCAATATTATAACGATACTATGCAAGTCATTCCCATCGTTTGTGAAAGAGTCGACAGGACAGAATCAAAGAACTTTTCTTCAAAATACCGAGTTACAGGTATAAACTCGCTAATGACAACAGCCTGATATAGTTGATGGCTACTTCAGGACCGAGCGTGGTAACGTGGCAATAAAAAAATCAAAATTATTAGATCTCAATAAGTCAACATCATGTTTTTCTTTTGAATTTTAAGAAATGCTGAAAAGTTTGTGAAATAGATTTTCATGCATGTATTAAAGAAGCACTTGGGCTGCATCTACTTTAATGAATTTTGCATAGGCACTCCCCTGCTTAATTGTTAAAAAATATATATCTACTATACTATAAACATAACAAGGCATGAAACTAGCCTCCATGTTGGATTCCGCTTAGGGGCACTTTCTGACTAATAGCGAGAATTTCTCGCCAAAGTCGGACTTTTCTCAGACATCGGAAGCTGTCATTTATTGAAATAAAATCAAATCAGGTTGAATCTTGCCATACGTTCGCCGCATTCACGCGTTTTCTAACATTTCTGTGCAAACCAGGTCTCCTCGGCCGGAACTTGAAGGTTTATGGGGGTATAGATAATTCGATCGTCGTGTACCTTCAATGTACGAGAACAACATTTCATGGAAAACTAACCTTTGATTTTCAAAAATGAACAAAATGTATTGTGAAATATATGTACATGTATTTGTATAACAATAAGACATACGATTTTTCTTTGCATTTTTATTACTTCTATTGGTAAAAAGAAGTCTAGCAGATACTTGAACTTATGAAAAATATATTGGCAACCGGTTAGTCTATAAGTCAGCAAGTCAGCAGTGTCAATGGGTTATATATATATATATATATATATAAAAGCAGTCTTGAAGACAGTGGCATATTATCCGGGGGGGGGGGGGGTCACCCCTTTCAAAAAAGGAAAAGGGGGAAAATATTCAATATAAAAGAAAGTTTTGATAAAACTTATGCTTTAACACTTAATTTAATAACAAGTATTATGAGTTTCTATTGTCACTTAATTTTTTTTACTACCCCCCCCCCTTTGAAATCCCTGATTCGTCTATGGAAAGTGTGTGTTACTTACATACATGTAAAGTATTAAGTATTACATTTATTGCAAAATAATAAATATACAAGTACATGTATATATTTTATCCTGATAGCGAGACTTATTTCTTATAGATGGATTCATACAGATATACAATAATAAAATGGGACAGTTCTAAAGTTTAATAACAAGTTCAAAAAATTCACCAAAATATTATATAAGTGATTTGGATGTTTTGAATATTTTGTAAGGGTAATTATTTCTAAACATATATTTTGGCATGTTCACATCACCATTAATATTTACAAAGCTGAAACTAACTTCATCAGCTCACTCTTTGTGGATTTTATTACAGTGTTCCACTGAGAATGATAGCACGTATGGCATTAGTTTTGACCAAAACCCAGCTCCAGCCCAGTTAACAAATGCAAAGGCAGCTAGATTAGGAGTCATTTAATAGACTAATTAACTATGTATATGTCATTACAATGAAGTTCCTGAGCCCCGCCCCGCGCTGATTTCACAGCGACAACCACATATAAACACAAACATATACACAAAGTGATAAACTATTAATTTCTTCATGTGCATGATTACAAAGTGTGAATTTGTACATGACAACAACAGTAAAGGATTCAATTCGTGATGCGTAATTCTGAAGGGACAACTATTTGATTCTGATAGATGCGGCAGATTTTGGAGAGAAAAAAATCTGTCCTTGAAAATAACTTTTTTGATTTTGAGTGGTAACCCCCGAACCCCTGCTCCCCGCACACACTCTAATTTTCTCATTTTTTCTTTATTTTATCCTACCCACTTTTTATGGTGTAGTAGAAATAAAAAAAAAAAACTTTCCCTAATCATCTTGGAAATAAATAATCTGTCCTCAGTCAATGACATGAAAATAAACATTTTGACTAGAAAAAAATGCCATCCCCCTCCCTCCTTTAGAATCAAATTGTCGTCCTCTAAATTGTATGATTCTGTTTTGGTGTCTCTGTACCATCATTGAATTTTTTCAAAAAAGAAAAAAAAAAGAAAAAAAAAAGAAAAAAAGAGCCCAGTCATTTCCCCGTGTATAGTTCCTTTTCTTCCAATACATCTCACATTTTTCATGCAGAACTTACTTCTGCTAATATCTGCTTTATTTTATTATATAATATTTTTTATTAACTATTATACATTTATCCCCCCCCCCGGTCAAATCCACCTCTGTATTGAAGACTCACCTGCTTAGACGTGTCCCCTCCTTTCGCCCCTATAATTTTGCCAATATATGACTATACTAATACTACGCAACAGAAAATAAATCTAACTTAGGATTGTCCTCCTTCAAAAATATTTTTTCTTGTCAAAGAATATTGTTGTTCAGTTGACCCCCCCCCCCCAACACACACATACATGTACACACAAACTGAAACAGCTTTTTATGGGCCTGATAATGTATATAAAATCTTGCAAGGTCCTACTGATATAAAATTATATTTATTTCACTGTGCATTTGTTCGTTAAGAAAAACAACGTTAGCTTTCTATGAAACACACTTTGAAGGTAAACGACGATCGAATTATCTATACCCCCATAAACCTTCAAGTTCCGGCCGAGGAGACCTGGTTTGCACAGAAATGTTAGAAAACGCGTGAATGCGGCGAACGTATGGCAAGATTCAACCTGATTTGATTTTATTTCAATAAATGACAGCTTCCGATGTCTGAGAAAAGTCCGACTTTGGCGAGAAATTCTCGCTATTAGTCAGAAAGTGCCCCTAAGCGGAATCCAACATGGAGGCTAGTTTCATGCCTTGTTATGTTTATAGTATAGTAGATATATATTTTTTAACAATTAAGCTGGGGGTGCCTATGGAATTTTGTTGTAATCTTGCATTAATCTGATGGTAATTTTCTAACGACTTAAAGTCTACATACGAGAAGGCAATTTATTGCAAATTCATAAGAAAGATTCAAGAGGCGACGATCTGTTGCGTGTAGGCGTGTCTGTACAGTTGTAGACACATATGGAGATTACCATTTGATCAGTCTGTTATACTGCATGCTAGAGGTTCACGGCGAGATGTTTTTGACTTGGCGCCGAGGTACACAAGGGACCTTTCATAAGGAGCGTATGGATTGTTGGAGGATACAAGGTGTATAGGGTAACATAAGGAGCATAGGGATTGTTATAGGAATATAGAAGGGGCGTAGGGATTTTTATGTGAGTATATAAGGGGCAAAGGAGCGTAGGGATGCTATAGGAGTATATAAGTAGTATAGGGATTGTTATAGGAGTATATAAGGAGCGTAGGGATTGTTATAGGAGTATATAAGGAGCGTAGGGATTGTTATAGGACTAAATAAGGAGTGTATGGATTGTTATAGGAGTATATAAGGAGCATAGGGATTTACAGGAGTATATAAGTAGTATAGGGGTTGTTATAGGAGTACATAACATAGACACTTATTTCGGTTATAATTTTTTAACCCATAGTATAATAATAACGCAAGGTATCCAACTACGAATTACACGGAGTCCCCCCCCCCTTCATAGAATCGCACTCATTTACCATTCCGTGGTGTGAGATGAATTTTCCAGTCGGCGAGCAGAGTACTGACGCTGTTTACGGAGATAGCGTAAAATAGAGACAAACATGTCATATATGGTTGTGTAGATAAATTATCGTTGAAGACAATGGTAATAAACAGTTTCCCAGCGCATTTCCTCTGAAATTGTAAATGAGTGCGATTCTGAGGGAGGGGGTACTCCGTGTAATTCGGAGTCGGATACCTTGTGTTATTATTATACTATGGGTTAAAAAAATTTACTACCGAAACAAGTGTCTGTGGTATGTAAGGAGCGTGGAGTAACTAAGGAGGGTAGAGTTTGTCGAGGGAGTATATTAGGATCTTAGGGTATATAAGAGGCATTGGATTGTTATAGGAGTATATACGGGGTATAGCGTACATAAAAGGCATTTGGATTGTTATAGGAATATACTATTTAGTAAAAGGAGCGTAGGGATTTTTTTGTGAATATATAAGGAGCAAAGGAGCGTAGGGATGCTATAGGAGTATATAAGGGGCATATGGATTGTTATAGAAATAAACAAGCATTCTGAGAGTATTGCATTAGCAATACTAGTCCCCTACCGGCAAGTGTAATCTGGTTCCTGTTAAGAATTGAAAATGTCATAATTCCGTCAAAAATCAATTAAGCGGAACGAAATGCAAACTTGATCTATAACTAATCAAGGTAAAGTCACGTGCCAAAAATCAGCTCAATATCTGAAAGCGTTTACAAGAAAATTGCGGAAAACCCTTAAAAATTGAAAAGGCCATAATTCCGTCAAAAATCAATAAAGCGGAACGAAATGCAAACTTGATCTGTAACTCATCAAGATACACTTATATACCAAAAATCAGCTCAATATCTGCAAGCGTTTAGGAAAAAAGTGCTGAAAACCACGTGGGACAGACAGACAGCTAGACAGACGGACGGACAGACCCAGGGGAAACCTAAAGTCCCCTCCGGTTTCACCTGTAGGGGACTAATAAGAAGCATAGGGATTGTTATAGGACTATATAATGAGCATACGGACGTTAACTGAGGCTCTTATTTGTAGGAGTACAGAGATTCTAGGGTGACAAAGTAGAAGTTTATCGTCAAAGGAAATGATTGATTATAAAAATATTGAGAAAAATGTTCAACTAGTAGCCTTGACCTTTCAATCTCATAGTACAGAGATGCTATACTAACAAATACAGAAGTTTATTGTCAGATGCAGTGATAGAATTTAATAATATCGAGGGAAATTTCAACTAATAACCTTGACCTTTCATTTATTCAATGTCATAATTTTGTAGAAAGAGGAAAGGGGCCTATTGGTTTTTAAATCTGATCAGGGTCAAAGGTAAAGTGACAGAGTTATCAATATTGTGGACATATGGAAATTATAAAAATCAGGGTCAACGTGGAAATTATAAAAATCAGGGTCAAAGGTGAACAGAGTGGGTTCACAATGTCGTAGACATATGGTAATTATAAGAATCAGGGTCAAGGGTGAACAGAGTGGGTTCACAATGTCGTAGACAGATGGTAATTATAAGAATCAGGGTCAAAGGTAAACTGACAGGGATGCACATTGTTGTAGACAGATGGTAATTATAAGAATCAGGGTCAAAGGTAAACTGACAGGGATGCACATTGTTGTAGACA